AATGTTAAACAACACAAATATCCTTTATGTATTTAATCCCATTCTATTAACCAATGTCTTTGCTTCTGACCATCGATGATCCAGTTCAACCGTACTAATAAGCACAAATTACTCTAGACAACATTTGTGTGTGTTTTGTTTATTGCTGAAGTGTTTAAATTTCTTCTTCTGCATTCTACTGTACGGACGTAACTTTACTTTCCCTTCAGCCTGAGGCTTATTCATTTCACTTTTGGTGTGAAAAGGCTTTTATATTTGCCAAAAAAATAACTTTTTATTTTAAAAACAAACAAGCAAGCCCTGTCCAGATTTTAAAAGTAACGCAAAAGTAACGTAACGCATTACTTTCCATAAAAAGTAACTAAGTACCGTAATTAGTTACTTTTTTATGGAGTAACGCAATATTGTAATGCATTACTTTTAAAAGTAACTTTCCCCAACACTGCTGAAGAGTGTTTCTTCTCCTGCGTTCTACTGTACAGATGTGAATTCACTTTTGCTTCAGCCTGAGGTTTATTCATTACACTTTTTGGTGTGAAAGGGCTTTTATATTTGCTATAAATAGAACTTCTTAATATATTAAAAACACTCAAGCCCTGCTCATATTTAAAAAGTAACGCGAAAGTAACGCAAAAGTAGTATAACGCATTACTTTCCATAAAAAGTAACTAAGTAACGTAATTAGTTACTTTTTTAGGGAGTAACGCAATATTGTAATGCATTACTTTTAAAAGTAGCTTTCCCCAACACTGTTCAAGTGATTTAAAGGCATGACAAATATTCATACATTTAGATCGGCAAAGTGAGTGCAGTGTTTCTGCATTAAAACTGAGAATGGTGCAAAACAACATAAAGAAAAACAAAACATTGTAACTGAGAGAAACAGGTGGCACTGAAGAATAAAAATGTATAAGTAAAAGTCCATCAAATATGGGTGCTTCGGTAACATAAAAGCCTTTTACCTGTATAAGCATTATTTTGTGGCACTGTGAGCAAACGTTTTCTTCAGATCCTGTGTTTTAATTAAATAATGTGAGATTTAGATCAAGTATATGTGTTAATTGCAATAAACTTGAGTTGTTTAAAATCTGAACAGCTGAAACTATTAGGAGCACTTCATGTGTTCCTGTGAATCGCTTGTATTTCTCAATTGTAAGTTTGCATAAAAGCGTCTGCTAAATGAATAAATGTAAACGTAAAATACCACAAGAATTGTGGAGGTTTTTATTTCTGTTATGTTGGGGACAGCAAATGTTTCGAATCACTTGAATCTTACATTTGTATTCTTTGACTTTGATAAATACACAAATGAAAAGAAACTGGACACTAATATAACAAAAACCATTTGTCAGAATGAAAGGTTTCTCCAATTTGAGTTTTTTAACTTTAATTCTTAGTTTTTGACAGTTTTATAAATCTACAGATTTCTGTGCAACAGAAGTTGTCTATAGGCTCTGTATAATGGCAACATATAATTATCATTGCACTGACAACATCTCTGATTATGTGTAAAATTAAGTAATAAAGGCTAAAAGTAGCCTGATATTGTTAAATGTTTGTGAATCACGTGACTATACTAAAAAAAGAACATGTCAAAATTTCGATTCAGTTTTCTTATGTAGGTTAATTTTTAATCATGTTAATGAATTTTAATACTTGTTGGTGTATAATACAAAAAGGAGGCAATTTATTTGCTTCTAATTGAGTTTGCCGATCCATGACTAATAACACAAAACAAGCATTAGATATTAAGTCATTTAGCAGACGCTTTTATCCAAAGTGACTTACAAATGAGGACAATAAAAGCAATCAAAACTAACAAAAGAGCAACACTCTATAAGTGCAAATGACAAGTCTCGGTTAGCCTAATACAGTACACGTATAAAGTGTATATATACAGTGGGTACGGAAAGTATTCAGACCCCCTTACATTTTTCACTCTTTGTTATATTGCAGCCATTTGCTAAAATCATTTAAGTTAATTTTTTTTCCTCATTAACGTACACACAGCACCCCATATTGACAGAAAAACACAGAATTGTTGACATTTTTGCAGATTTATTAAAAAAGAAAAACTGAAATATCACATGGTCCTAAGTATTCAGACCCTTTGCTGTGACACTCATATATTTAACTCAGGTGCTATCCATTTCTTCTGATCATCCTTGAGATGGTTCTACACCTTCATTTGAGTCCAGCTGTGTTTGTTTATACTGATTGGACTTGATTAGGAAAGCCACACACCTGTCTATATAAGACCTTACAGCTCACAGTGCATGTCAGAGCAAATGAGAATCATGAGGTCAAAGGAACTGCCTGAAGAGCTCAGAGACAGAATTGTGGCAAGGCACAGATCTGGTCAAGGTTACAAAAACATTTCTGCTGCACTTAAGGTTCCTAAGAGCAATCCTTAAATGGAAGACGTTTGGGATGACCAGAACCCTTCCTAGAACCCTTCCTAGTTCTCCTTCCTAGAGAACAAAACTGAGCTATCGGGGGAGAAGAGCCTTGGTGAGAGAGGTAAAGAAGAACCCAAAGATCACTGTGGCTGAGTTCCAGAGATGCAGTCGGGAACAATTGATATGTTATCTATATTCTATTGTGAATAAAATATAAGTTTATGAGATTTGTAAATTATTCCATTCCTTTTTTACTCACAATTTGTACAGTGTCCCAACTTTTTTGGAATTGGGTTTGTACAAACAAATACACACACATATATATATACATACCCATATACACACATATATACACACACACACACACACAAAGAATATAAATATAGATAAAGTAGAATTAAAATAGAATAGAATATTAATAAAAGAACACGTTTTACAGAAGCTTCACATTTATTGGTATTTATTTATAGATTAAATGTAATAGATTAGAGCTGAGTTTTGTTGCATTTTCACCGTTTTGACCAGCAGGTGCCGCCAGTCTGTGGTGTTTCGATGGCTTTGAATCATTTTGCGTGTGAATGAATCATTCGATTCAAATGATTCAGAGTTTCGAAAAGCTTCGTTTCTCACGCCACTAGCGGAGCGTTCGTGCTCTCGTCACCGCCCTCTCGCGTCGACGTGGCCAATCAGCTCGCACTGGCCTTGCGTGACGTCACGCACCAGCTAGCTCGCCGAACAAAAGCAAGCGTGTCTGTCTGCGCGCTCCGCTCCTCCCCGCCGGATGCGACCGAGAAAACGCGGAACCGTTCGTTTTTAGCGTTTAAGTTTGTTGTATAGAAATCCCCCGTGTTATACACACACACGTATACAGTGTAAAAGTGCAAATCTCGACACCCGCGGCGAGTGTTTTTGTCTGCGCCGAAGCTCCGAGGGATTCTCGCGAGAGTAAGTAGAGCAGCGCGTGGCTGGTTTGTTTGTGTTTGTGCTTTAGATTGTTTCAAAGCAGCTGAAACCACAGCACAGTATTGGGGTCGAATTGCGATTGTGTATTCTGGTTCTGGACCATGTTATACATGATTTTATGTTGGCATTTTAATTCCGCCACATGCCAGCAACATATTTGGCCTTATGCACCTTTAAAACTCACTGTTTCGCTTGCACAGACATGTTTATGCGCAGTTTCAAGGTTATTCTGGGGGAAAGAAAATGAACCGTTGTCTGTCAGGCAATGCACATGAAGTAGTATGTTTTGAAAATAGGTTTGTGTGTCATCTTCAGTGTTTACGTGTGAAGGTCACAGTGGAAAGAGGTTCAGAGATAATCTAATCACGCTGTTTCTTCCCCGTACCCTTCCTTTATCTGCCTCAGATTCTGAATATTGTGAAATGCATGAACTAATCAGAGGTGAACTCTGGTAAAAGCTTTTGATTTCGTCTTTTGTGTATGTCAGCAGTGATTCAGATACTGAATGATGTTGTTTCCTAGTTTGGGGCCGTTGTCACTTCTGCAAAGTTCTTTCCATTCCCTTTGTCTCATCTGTTTTTGTCTTTAAAATCGTGCCCTCTTCCTATTACCTGTAGAATTTGCATATGTTCGTTATTCATTATGGATACCTTACACAACCCTAAACAAAGGGTTCCAGCTTTGTGCCCTTTAATGATCAAAAGGTAAGTTTATCAAATAAAGACTTGGCATACATGTCAATCAAAAGTAGCATGCACACTACAAAGGAATAATGAAATTTGTAATCTTATCCTCATCCTCATGTCATGCCTTTCTTTCTTCTATGCAACACAAGGAGACGCAGTATTTTCATACTTACTGACCACTTGATCTGACTTTGAATTTAGTCTTAAGGGTTGTTTGATGGTGTTGTCTTGTCCTTTGGTTGTTATGGTCCTGTAAGCTGTAGAAAAAGGCTGCTTGTCATTAGTTTTCTGCTTTGAGACGTTTGCACTTTTCATGACTAGCACATTCAATTATTGTTTCAGTTATATTTATTTAATTTTCTTTAAACATACTACGTTTATTGGTTATAATAGTCACATTATATATTCAGGAATCCAGATTAATAATAATAATATTTTATATTATTTATACATTTTATTTTATTGTTATACATTTATTGCATTAAAATGAATTCATGAAAATGTCATTTTAATTAAAATAATGACAGCACTGAGAAAAAAAATCGAAATAATAATAGGCTTAAATTTCATTATGAAATATACAATTAATATTTTGGGGTTGAAATATGATACAGAAAAGTTTATTTATTTATTTTTTTGACATGCATTGTGAAATTCATCCACTTTTTAAATTTAAGTGTTTGGTCACCTGGGCTTGTGTTAAAGGGTTAGTTCACCCAAAAATGAAAATTAGCCCATAAATTACTCATCCTCAAGTCATCCTAGGTGTATATGACCTACTACTTTCAGGCGAATCCAGTCGGAGTTGTATTAAAAATTGTCTTTGATCTTTCAAGCTGTTTAATGCCACTCAGCCGGTGTTGCATGCATCAGTCCAAAAGAAGTTAAATAAAAAGCGCCCATCCATAAAAATTAAAAAAGTGTCTCACATGGCTCCGGGGGGTGAACAAAGGCCTCCTGTAGCGAATCGATGCGTTTTTATAAGAAAAATATTCAAAACGTAATAATCACTTTAATGTAGCTTGCACTCACTGTTGCGCCCATCTAGGGCTGGACAATAATTCAATATGTATCGCGATATAATTTTTTTCAATAACGGTGATATGATTTTTAAACACATTTCCGATATTTCGATATACAAAAAGCTTTTGTAACATTATACACTATTCCATTCCAAAGAAATTATAGAAATTAATACTTTTATTTAGCAAGGATGCTTAAAATTGATCAAAAGTGATGATAAAGGCATTTATAATGTTACAAAAGATTTCTATTTCAGATAAATAGTGTTCATATCGATATCGGAATTATATCGTATCGACCGAAATTAAGAAATATATCGTGATATCAATTTTGGCCATATCGTCCAGCCCTACGCCCATCCATTAAAAAAACTCCGGGGGGTGAACAAAAAGGCCTTCTGTAGCGAATCGATTCGTTTTTGTAAGAAAAATATCCATATTCAAATCGTAATAATCACTTGAATGTAGCTTGGACTCACAGTTGTACATGGAAGCAGCTCCGGGCGGATGACGTATGAGGTCAGCGTTGCGCATGTGCCGCTCAGAAGTGACGCACACGGAAGCGCAGGGGAGAGATCAAAAAACAACGGTCACTTATTAGAAGTACAAAACGAGGATTTCAGTAAAAGCCAAGAGGAGGCTGGTTTTCCTTTGCTAAAGTAAGGAAACTTTGCTTCCTTTGCTTTTGTTAACAAACGTTGGTTTTCACGAGACTCACCGGCGCATGCGCAACGCTGAACTCATACGTCATCAGCCCGAAGCTGCTTCCGTGTAGGACTGTTGGCGCAAGCTACATTAAAGTGATGATTACGTTTTGAATATGGATATTTTTCT